CCCCCCCCCCCAAAAAAAAAAAATAAATAAAAAATAATATCAATATATTATCTGAAATTTGTCACTTTTGCTGCGGGTAGATGGATTTTGGATCAGGATATTTAATTAAAAAGGGACGAGGAAGAAGATGGGTATATGGATCGGTTCCTTTTTGTTACCTGATCTCTGCCCAGAACTTCCTTATTTAATGGAAAGGGTCATAAGACCATATGTAGGATGTATCTTTATAGTTGCATGTTGTCTACAAGTCCAGAGCTTCAAACTGCCATGTAAAAGAGCTATCTTGATGATGAGCATCATCTCAAATTGTATCCTTTTGTCCAGATATTAGCAGTTTATTATGACTCTTTTACTTGTATCGGTGCTTTAGGGGCTGTTGGAGGAGGTGGTCTTGTGGTTGAGGACTCTCCTGTTTCTGTTGCCATGTTTATGATTAAAGAATCTTCATGCTTGCTTAATTCTGATATTAAGTCGTCTTGACTTTCATTAGAATAATAGTTTAGTAAGGAACTATTATTGTCTAACAATTTGTTTGCTTGCTTAAAGCAACAAACTCTGTTTGGGGATTCTGAACCTGTTGTGTTAAAGTTTGTATTAGTTGTCTTAACCCACTCTATCCGAGAAATCTAAGGTTTCAGGTTGAAGGATGTTTGTCAAACCCTTTGTTTTCACCATCATATTCAAATTATTAGTCCAGTGAAATTTCCTAAATGGTCTTTCACTAGCTTCTGGTCTTTTATTTTTTGGTTTTAATTCTTCAATTTGTTTTTAAAAATTAAGGATATTGGTATTTATTTCCTCTATGAGATACACCAAATCTATTACAGATTTCAACATAGATGTTAAATCCTGTATGGTAGGTGACTCGGTAGAGTCTTTGCGCATATGCAATAAGTGCTTGTAGCTTTTGAGCTCAGCACTTAATTTGTAAGAGTTTGAAACTATACTAGACATAATTTTTTTTCCTTTTCATATTTTAATTAGTTATTATGTCATTCTCCTATGTTTACTATCTATTTTACTTATCAAGGGTTTGATCCTTTTTTCTCCGGCTCAACACACTTTCTAGAGGTGGCTTTTTCCCCAGAGTAAGGACTCGAACCTAGCAACCTAGGTGTTGCTTCCACCGCAACCTTATAACCGCAATCCTAGCATGCTGCTTGAAAGAGAGAGAGCACGACCTAGTTTCGTTTCCTACCTCTAGGCGTAACTTAATAAGCAAAATAAACATAAACATAATAACATAATTTAAACTACATAATTAAGGCAGAAATTGGAGAAAGAGAGAAATTAAAACTTCATATTATTAACAAAGAAAAACTTACAAAATTATATATATTGCAGGACTTCAGGACGACCTTAACTCAGATACCACTCACAAAACATTCTTTTATTCACAAAACAAACAACCTCTTACAAAACACTCCTTTTTTCGATGATCTTACAAGATTCTGGACCTCTATATTTATAGAGTTACAACCAACTTCCTTTTATGTAAAGTTGCTTTATAAAAAAAGTAGCCGACTTTCTTTTTACAAAGTAACTTTCAAAAAGTTACTTTTATAAAGTGTCTTATAGCACTAGAAAAAGAAATGAGGGTTTTTACTCCAGATATGAATGCGTGCTTATCAGCACTTGAAAAAGTAATCAAAGAAAAGAATCATCAGATTCAAAACCTTGAACAGGGGTACCATAAATGCAAAAATATTATGAAAAACATAGTTAATAAATCATCCATGACAATGTCAAGGGCAATTAAGAACTAAAAAGAACAGATGTCAGACTCTCTAAGCTCAAATTCCAGAAATCTTATAATGATTCTACAGGAAGTTAAGATTAAAGATCTGGTAGTTGTAAAATTGATTTTTGTTGAACTTGTTAATTACTTCAAGTTTGATATTCCAAATTATCTAGCTCAGAGAAAATTAAAAGATATGTTCGACAACTATCAGAGAAATCTGATCGATGATCAGACAATGCTCTCCTATTTCGAAAAGCTAAAAGATGATGATATTAGTTCATTGTTCAAATCAACATCCCAAGTCATACTAAACCAATATGACAGACCAAGGGTACTAGCCAGTTTTGAACTTATACCCTTACATAAAGAACATAATCAGAAAGGTTTGGTTCATAAACTATATGTTGATAAAACATGGCCAGATGAATATAAGCCTTCATTCCTAAGATCTGCAGTTAGGCACTTAAAGATACTAGGAAATTCCAACGTGTGTTTGAATTCACCATATGGTCAATATGGGAAAAACGAAATTTATTAGAAAAATATCATTCCTACTAGATACGACGACTTGATCCTCTGGTAAGGGAACCTCATTTTAGGCATGTTCCTTTTAATGAAAAGGAATATGATCTTGAAGAAGAAAGGGAACTTGCTGCTATCGAGTTATTTGAAGCATTACACTATAATAATGGGAAAATGATTATTAAAGATTTTATTATCCTTTATCTCCCACATTCAGTATTCAAGGAACGAGAGCTACAAGAAAAATTCAAGGAAGAATTGGTTCTTGGCTACTTTTTAAAATCAATTTTTAGAAAGTTACTTTGTAAAAAGAAAGTCGGCTATTTTTTGTAAAGCAACTTTATGTAAAAAAAAATCGGTTGTAACTCTATAAATATAGGGGTCCAGAGTCTTGTAAGATCATCGGAAAAAGAGTGTTTTGTAAGATGTTGTTTGTTTTGTGAATAAAAGAGTGTTTTGTGAGTGGTATCAGAGCCAAGGTCGTCCTGAAGTCTTGCAATATATATAATTTTGTAATTTTTTCTTTGTTAATAATATAAAGTTTTAATTTCTTTCTTTCTTCAATTTCTGTCTCAATTATGTAGTTTAAATTTTGTTATTCTGTTTATGTTTATTTTGCTTATTAAGTTACGCCTAAAGGTAGGAAACGAAACTAGCCCATGTTCTCTCTCTTTTTGAAGCAGCATGCTAGGATTGTGGTTATAAGGTTGCGGGGGAAGCAACATCTAGGTTGCTAGGTTCGAGTCGTTATTTTGGGGAGAGAGCCACCTTCAGAGAGTGTGTTGAGCCGGAGAGAAAAGGGTCAAACCCTTGATAAGTAAAATAGATAGTAAACATATATAATAGAAGGAGAATGACATAATAAGAGCGAGAAATATGAGAAGGAAAAAAAATTATGTCTAGAATAGTTTCAAACTCTTGCAAATTAAGTGATGAGTTCAAAAGCTACAAATACTTATTGCATATGCCCAAAGACTCTACCGAGTCACCTACCATATAGGATTTAACATTTATGTTGAATTCTGTAATAGATATGATGTATCCCATAGAGGAAATAAACACCAATATCATTAATCTTTAAAAACAAATTGAAGAATTAAAACCAAAAAATAAAAGTCCAGAACCTAGTGAAAGACCATTTAGAAAATTTTACTGGACTAACAATTTGAATATGATGATGAAAATAAAGGGTTTGTTAGACATCCTTCAACTTGAAACCATAGATTTTTTTGAATAGAGTTGTGTTAAGACAACAAATATAAACTTTAACGCAATAGGTTCAGAATCCCCAAACAGAGTTTGCTACTTTAAAGCTAGCAAACGAATTGTTAGATAAGAATAGTTCCTTATTAAACTATTATTTTGATGAAAGTCAAGACGATTTAACATCAGAATTAAATGAGCATGAAGATTCTTTAATCATAAACATGACAACAGAAACAAGAGAGTCCTCAACCACAGGACAACCTTCTCCAATAGCGCCTTAACACCGCTACAAGTAAAAGATCCCATGTTTCAATTGGGACAAGATCCTCCTACTATGTTTAGGGGAATGCCATATATAAAATTTGAATCCTCTTCCTCAAAAAGAGAAAGGGGGTTTACCAAGTTATTTGAGGACTAAGTATAGACAAATGTACGAAGAAGCCTCCACACATAGACCCGCTAGCTCTGCAGGACTATATTTTAATTTAGATAATATTCTTTCATCCATGCAGAGTACCATAATAGGTGTATCTATACCATACTTAAATTGTCCAGTAATATTTACTTGGATGAGTTCAAGGTGAAGATATTTCATATCTTTATATTTTTCTTTTAATTAATTAATTTTTCTTTGATTGAGGAGTGGAATGCTCTTAAAGCTATCTACGATACAAGTATTGTACAGGGTTGAAGTCTTTCGTCTGATTAGAGCTATTATCTGTAATAATAGAAAGTTCGGACATTTTGCATGTTGACAGGTTGTACTTTTCAGGTCTAGAAAGGCAACCATGAATAAGCCTTTACTTTATGAGGCACGCCATATGCTTCAACACTAAATATCTACTCCATTCTATTCCTTGGGAGCTAGAATAATATATTTTGACGCACCTTGAGCTCTCTACTTGTAAACTTTTCAACTCGTATCAAATCGATATGATCCTGAAAGTTAAAAGAGAATTGTCAGTGAACGGGATAATGCTAAGTACTAAATGGGATAATGCTAAGTGCTATTGATGCTGACTTGGGTTGTACAGAACTGAGAGACACAATACCTGATAGACATATACAAGGGCACAAGAAATACTGTAGAGATGAATCACAGACAAAGAATAAAGAATGACCCAAGTCTATGTTTCCTAGCCCGAAAATAACCAGCTAATAACTTCAACATATATGTATATGTAGAGTTTGTGATGACGGTTAAAAATTCTTTTATTCATTTGCATTGTGAGGGATGAAGTTATACTAGATCTTATTTGATAATTCCACATTTTGACTAGGAAATACTTAAAGTTTATTCTAGATTTAACTAGGTCAGTTTGTAATAGGATCTATATTGATTTGTACCTGGGTTCTGTTTTATGATATTCAATCTTGAAAGCTACATGTTTCTACTTAAAGTTTATTCTAGATTTGACTAGGTCAGTTTGTAATAGGATCTATATTGATTTGTACCTGGGTTCTGTTTTATGATATTCAATCTTGAAAGATACATGTTTCTTCTACTAATGGCTAAATATCAGAAAACCCCCTTAACTTTGGACGATTATCAGATAATCCCCATAACTTTCAAAATATCAGAAGAACCCTTTAAGTTCAGGGGTTATCAGAACCCCCCACCCCCCACCCCAACCCCAACACAAAAAAAAGAAGAAAAAAAAACATTAACATGTGTGGGTAAAATTACACAAGGGGATTTTTTTCAGTGAAAATTGCGGTTCACACTTCTAGGAGGTTTTCTGATAAAATCTTAAAAGTTAAAGGGGGTTTTACGATAACCCCTAAACTTAAGGGGGTTTACTGTTATTTTGAAAGATATGGTAGGTTATCTGATAATCGTCCAGAGTTAGAGAAGGGGGATTAAGCTTCAGAGAGTTTGAAAATATGATGTTCTTTCTCTAATTTATTTCAGGGTCTAGATTTTCTTGTTGATGCTGGTACTAGAATAGCTGATCCATCCACTGTAGTTGATATGACAGGAAGTGTGCCAACAATCATTCGTCAGGGGAAGGTACTTATATACATTGATCCATCACCTGGTCCAAACTATTTATGTGTATGCTGGGTATCATGTCAACAATTTGGCTCTATAACAAATGGTATAGGCCACATATTTCAATTCGCCCTTTTAGTCTGTACCCCTGCAAAGAGAAGATCATGTGCTGGAGGTTTAACATAGGCAACATCATCCATGTTATTCCTGATGTTGACGTCCTTAAGTTGAGCTTCATCACTCATTCAAATGCATTAAGTAAATGTGTCCAGTAGATCTTGATGCTTCAGATAATTTTATCAGCTTAAGTTGCATGGTTAAGATAGTTTCAAATGTGCAATCCATAAGTACCTGAAAAATCAATTTGAATTGCATTTCATATTAGTTACTGGTGTTTGGATCTATAGCATGGTAATACTGTAGCCACAGAAAAATCGCAGATCGTTCAACTGGTTGAGAAGCCAGTAATTTACTACATATTGAAAAACGTTAAACATTATGCTTGCAGTTTTTCATTGTTATGTAATTCTGTTTGATTTAAGCAGCAGGTCACCTAGTGACGCTCTTGTTACTCGGTTCAAGGCATTCTGCACTATTGCTTTTGGTTGAAAAATTTGGTTCCAATTGCTCTGCGCTTTTGTTCTATGCTAAGTTCATTTGTAAGATCTATATGAGCGGCAACTTAATCAATTTGTCATCTGCCCCATAAACAAAATTTCCTTGTTTAAAAGTTTTTAAAATTTAATGGTAATCTTTTACTAATTTATCCAAAGCGTTTGGTTTCATTCATTCATGTACTACTTATTTTTGACATGAAAACTGATCATGAAACCCCTTAGGCTTCCTATTCCTTCTAGCAATCATACAACCTAAGCTAAAAGCTGCAACAACTTTGTACCTGTCCTTGCTGGATTTTGAATATTCTTTATGTGCTGGATCACTTATAAGTATCTGTTGCACGGACTCAGCGTAGTCTTTTTCTCACTTCCCAGTGGGAATCGTTATTAATAACACTTATTGGCGAAGAATAAATCGTCAAGTTTCAACCTGAGTTAAGAGTATGAATAATGATGAAAGCATTGTAAGGGAAAAGGTGACTTAGAAATCAACTATCTTAAAGCAGCGTCTGTGACAATATTTCATTCATTTTGGTTTGTGATCATGGAGGAATGAGCTAAAGGCAACTCTATATGGTAACGTTCCTTTTGGGCAGTAGATACCTAGGTTCTGCACAATCTTTGTGCATAATCTCTACAGGCTGATACTGGAAGAATGCTGTAAATTTAACTTGCGAAATTTATCAACAAAGAATGTATGACAACAACTATTAAATGCCAATTTGAGAGTGGCATACCCTGGTCAATTTCAAGTTTAATTAAAAAAAAAAAGAGTGACATCCTAGACTTAGAAATAAGTTTGCCTGCATATTCAGTGATCATGATTGAAGAAGACAAGATATCGGGGCAGGCAATGGTGTCATCTTTAAGGCATTTTGTAAAATGAGTCACAATTCTTCTATAGGTGAGGGAGGGGATCTGTTAATAGAGAGGTTGAGACGATTGAATGCTGGTATTAGTCTAGGACTATTCTGTTGAAGATGCCTCTGATAAAGTTTGACAAGAGCTTCGGCTTTCCTACTTAACTTTTATTCTTTCTTTTCAAAATGCTCTTCAGGGGCCTAAGCTGGACTGGATGGCATTAAAAGACGAAGAATCTGTTTCGCAAGAGGAATTACCTCTCGCGTAGGCGGTATGAAGATAACCCCCGTGAAAAGTTTGACATAACAGATGCATGTAAATATGGCCATCGACAAAGGAAATTTCCGGTAGCAGTTTCTTAAGTTGAACTCCTGTAAGAGGTCTCTTCTTCACCCACAAGTCCTTTAGGTCCTGATCTGAAAATACACGGTAGTATACATATCTTGATCTTTTGTCAAAGATTCCTGTGAATATTCTGTACATGTACCGGTATAGTGGCAAAGGGATGTTATTTCAATTTCCTATCTTGTTTCTGTGAATGTTAATTGCCATTTCTGAGATTTGATTGTTGATTGAGTTAAGCATGTTCCAAACTCATTCATACGAGGCCCAGGATGATGATGAATTAAATGTCTCAGTAAAGATGCTCTGTTGAATCTCTAGTGAATTTTTTTAGCTGGTGGTTGTGAAAACCAACATTTGCATGCTAGTTGCGCTGTCTGATATGTCACACATTGAGGCCTTGCTTGTATTGTGCGAAGGTGGAACTGAATTTTCTTTAGAAATTCTTTTTGTCTGAGTATTTTTTTTATGTACTCTAATTTGGTAACAGTTACAGACTTACAGCTGAACCGTGAGTGCGTTTTCTTTTTTTTTTTTGCGTGATTTTTATCTCTTAATCCTATTTTAGCAAAGTGATTCCTCCACCAACCAAATAATTAGAATCTTATGATGGGACGCTATTTGCGCATCCAAGAAGAGAACTAGAGATGAAGTAACGATGTGCGTTACAAATTCTCCAAGAAAATAGCAATAAGGTCCTTCAATTCCCTTCACAAACAGTCAAGACAATTTCACAAGGGTAAGAATGGATCTTGCAGGATGGAGTTAACTAATCTAATTCTTCAGATTAACGAATGGTTAACCAGATTACCTTGATGAATTAACTAATCTAATTCTTAACATTAACAAATAGTTAAGCAGATTACCTTTTCTTCTTAACCTCTCTTTATTTTAAAAAAACTTGGGCGAAATACTTAAAAAAAAAGGCTAAATAGCATTTAAACAACTTATAGTTTCGCTCGTTTAGCACTTACGTACCCTAGTTTTTTGCAGCATACATATACCCTAAGTTGTTTAAAATTGACATTTTGCTACATTCATGTGAAAAATCCACAGAGCTGAGGGTCGCAAAGTGCCAATTTTGAACAACTTATTAGAGTACAAAAATGCTGCGAAAAATGAGGTAGGGTACATAAGTGCAAAATTAGTGAAACTACAAGGTATTTAAGTGCTACTCAGCCACTGAAAAAAAAACTTGGCCGACCGAGCGCTTCGAAGTTACACGAGTCGCGCACCGCCATCATCTCCACCACACAGGTCGGGGCCGGCCCATGGACTGGGCCTGTATTGGGACAACAGCAGGGCATCCCAATTAAGGTCATTTAGACCCACTAAAAACTTGGCCCAGCCCAGTTAATCAGCGAATCTGGTAACGCATCCTTCTCGTGCTGAAACAGTGAATCCAGGCACTCGATCCGTCAGAGGGAGCGAGCAATGGAGGAAGAACTGAGATCGCTTCTCCAAGATCTTGAAACCCTCAAGCGATCTGTACCCGATCCCGATCAAAATGATTCCATCAACAAGGTTCACTTCTCAATTCATAGATCTCAGCCCTCCAATTCTTTCTTTTTTTAAAAAAAAAAATTTAACCTGATGCTTGTTTGTGATTTTGTTTCAATTTGTAATTGAATTCTGCAGTTGCAACAAAGAGTAGATAAAATCATGAGCATGTCGAAATTGGGGTCCGCCCGGCGATCGAAAGTCAAGGTCTTTACTTTGTATGCAAACTTTAAATTGTCTTGTTGTTTTCCTTGTTCCTGATGCTAATTGTGCATGATGGTTAATCTTAAATGTTATGTTGGAGGGTGCAGGATATGAGTGCCGAGGTGGTGGATAGCAACCCCTATAGTAGACTAATGGCACTTCAACGAATGGGTATTGTGCAGAACTATGAAAGGATACGAGATTTCTCGGTCGCGATAGTAGTGCGTATTTGTCTCCCTGTTTCTTCATTCTTACTCACTTGCAGTTGCAGTACATACACACTTCACTGGGGATTTTTTTCTCTCCCTCTCTGTATACGATTGTATAGTAGTATTTTTGCAGTTTTACTTGGTGGGTCAATGTACAATAATGGTCTAGCAACCACCTTCGAAATTTCCCAGAAAATTTTTGTGTCGTGTTTAGACTGGAAATCATTAGTTTTGTGCAATTTTAGAACTAAAGGACCTAGACAGGTATAGTGTTTTGACAATTACAAGTACCACAGTGTGGGGTTTAGGCAATATGCTGGGAAAAGGCATTTCTTTTTTTCAACACAGAGCAAACCCCAGGCATGGCATCTCAATTCGCCATTAACTTCTATGATTTGAGAAGTTAGGTACTTTTAACGATTAAAGACTTTTTTTACACATTAATTGCATATTTGATTATTTCTTTAGTGACATGGAAATTTTATGCAAATCATGTACTATGATATGCTGTATCCCTGGGGTGCAATAGTTACTCATCTCATTTTCTTGCAGACAAGATGTATTTTGAACATTTGAGATACAATGCTCCTGACGGATTGGGCGGAGCATGACGGAAAGAATTAATCTCTATGATGCGTGCCTAATTATGGTCAAGCGGGGAAACTGAGATTAATATTTTAGCCACCTATGGAATGATATTTCTCAAATATGAGCAGTTGTTTTCATTCATATATATGGACACATGCACACACACGCAAATTAGTATATCATTTTAAAGATTAATCTCTATGGATACACGCCATTGGAAGTGGTCTGTGAATTAGGATGCCAAGATTTATATTTTTCTAGAGATGAAAATGTTATGGCTCTCAATATGAGTGAGTCTTTGAGAATTGTATATGCAGGTACCTAAGTGTGCGTAGGTATATAATTTCAAGCTTTACATGCTTTTATATATTTAACTTGTCTTCTTTAGAAACTTCACGCTAACAGTCTTTAATTTTATTCTCATTCTATTGGCAATATAAAATTGGAAATATGACAATTCATGGTGGGCAAGGTTTTAAATCTTCTTTCGAGTATGCAGGCATAGACACAGGGGGAGGTACCTTAAACTTGACACCACCCTCTAGCAAAAGTTCTTTGGGTACATAGTAACGTTTGATTCATTAGTGAACCCATTATCAAATTAAATAATGGATGGTGACCCATTTATTATTTAGATGGCCCAAACCCAAACCCTTAGATGAGCCAAGCCTTAAATGGTCCAAAGACTCCAAACCCTTAATCCCCTTAATGTTAGCAACTTAGTAATTTACGTTGAAAAGGAAAAAGATGCATTTAGTCTATTTCGAATGAGTCAATAATGCGACAGTTTCAAAACATGGTGACACCTAGGGATCAATTGTAATTTTACTTAGTTAAATATGTCTCTTGCATCTAAGTTCCTGATATATTTTGAATATGAGAAAAATTAGTTATAGTCTCTATTTATATATAAAGTGACACCAGTACTATGAATTCCTGGCTCCGCACTGCATAGACATGCACATGCAATGCATTGTCTGTTTCTAGTGTTTACTTGATGCTGTCATTGTTATAGGGAATTGGTGGGGTAGGCAGTGTTGCTGCAGAAATGCTTACGCGGTGTGGGATTGGTCGGCTCTTGTTGTATGATTATGACACAGTGGAGTTGGCGAACATGAATAGGCTTTTCTTTCGTCCAGACCAGGTAAGTTTATCTTTCCTCACATAAGTTCTTCCTTCTTTGCTTTGTAAATGGTCAGCTTTCACATATTCTTTGTTCTTTAGATTTTCAATTTCACTTATTAATGTTAGAAATATTCATTCCTATTTGTAATAGTTTCTTTCTTGATGGAATACTCTTAGTCACAAAATTGTTCCTTATTGTAGGCTGGCATGACCAAGACAGATGCTGCTGTTCAGACTCTTTCAGACATTAACCCTGATGTTGTACTAGAAGTAAGTGACTCTCTAGTATGTTGCTTGTGGTGTAAAATTTACTAACCACATTCCCAGCCATACTGTTTCCTAGATCTTAAAATGTCGACATTACCTTTGATGTACTCCTACCTTTGATGCACCATTGTCTATGTTTATCAATTTAGCGCATGGACTAAATCCAAATTACAACTTTCTTGAATGAAAAATCCATGTGTTTCTTTACACTGATTGAATTGTTTTTACTTATTTCAGTGTTAATCCAGTTAATAAAGAGAAGTTTAAAAGCAGACATGTTGATTCTTTGAATATATCATCCATACATTGTCAAGTTAGTCAATTTAGAACTGTGAAGGATGTAGGTAGCCCTATTACTTATAGCCGTAGCAAACAATGCTTACCCAATTATCGGGTATATACATATGTACTATGTACATATACTGGAGGCATCAGAGCTTCATTTAAAAGAAAATAAATTCTCTGCCAACTTATCTCAGGCTTTTGTTTGCCTTTGGTCTTTCCTCCTTCCCTCTCTCTCTGTGTCCGCGCGCGGGGGGGGGGGTGGAGGTGGGGGGTGGGGGTTCTCATGTATTTATCTATGAAACATGCATCTGGAGACATGAATTTAAAGGAGTATGCTAATTCCTTTTTAAAAGGTAATTTGCACTTTATTACCCAAGTTTCTCCCATTTAACTTCGATAACTCAAGTTTTTATCTGAAATTGATACCGCCAAAGTCACTACAAAGAAACTAGAAGATATGTTTACGAAGATTTCCCTTCACTCAACACATAATGAAGCTAAAGAGCAAAACATATACATTAATCTCCACATCTTCCTCTCTATTGAGCTCCCTGGAATTCTTACCCACCTCCACACGCCCCCACACCAACAACAACAAACAAAAGGGCCCCAGGGAAAAACGCTGCCTCCCGCCACTTATCACACCAAACCACTGAACGTTCAATCACTAATTAAGCATCCACTCTCCACAGGGCAGTATCCCTAAGCGCGGCCGCCTCCCTTTTTACTAATGGTAGAATGTGGGACAAAAATTGGATTCTATGGTTGATTGGGTGTGGGATTTTGAAGATTGAAGGAGCCTGTGGTTCAGGGAAAGAGTGGCAAAAATAGGACATTGGCTAACTAATAATAGACGTATAGTGAAAAAGCTAGCTGAAAGGTGCCATCTTACATAGAATTATAGAACTAGTGGTGTAGTTCTCTTTTCCATGTATTATCTTACTTTCAGGTTTCCACCGACAGTCTAGTAAGAAATTTTAGTTTTTTTCATTTCTGAAGTGGGATGCCAAATGGCTATCTATTCAGCTAGCAGTTCTAGTTGGAGGATACTTTTTCCTGGCTTCTAAAATTATGTGCATACCTGTCAGTATGAGCAAAAAAGAACTCACTTTTCAATATTTAAGCTGTTACCATTATTATTTTGAGATTATTTAGATTCTACCAATGGCTTATGTTACTCTGTTTTGTTTATCTATAGCCACATTCACCTCCTTTATCAGACTGCTATAACTTATAAGACTTCTGCTAGATACTCTATTTATAGTGATATTGTTCAATAGCTTGTTTTGCAGTAAGCCACGATGTCTGACACCTGGTTTACTCGGATTTGTTTATACTTTATATGTGTATCTACCTTAATACCTCCTGTATCAGACTGCTAGAAGACTTGTGATATATAATTTATTGTAGTGATATTGTTCGATAGCTTGCTTTACCATAAGTCAAGGTCAGACACCAGGTTTATGTGCAATTTAATGACCCTGCTTTCATGTCATCCAAATTATAACTAATCTAGAAGAAGAACCGCATAGAGGGGTCACTTGAATTGGAATATGGCACAGGGAGGAGATTCTACAAAAACCGTGGGGCGACATAAACAATTGAATTTGTTGAATGTAATCATCATATTTATAATCTGTTGATGGAGAGAAGTAGACATAGACTGTTAAATGTGCATGCAAACTGGAACATGGGAAACACAAAAGCATATTGTCTTATTACACATCAATGGTAGATACTAGATACTGACCCTGAATACCTGATCGTTCTGCCTCTTAGATTGCAACTGCGTGTTTATATTTATTTGGATCTTCACTAATCTTATAATTTTTCCATTAAGATTTCATTTAATATAACCATCTTATTCATTTCCTTTTCTTTCTCCAGAGCTATTCATTGAACATCACGACTGTAAAAGGTTTTGAAATTTTTATAGAGAGTCTTAAACGAAATCAGAAGCAAGGTGCTAACACTGGAGTTGATCTTGTATTGAGTTGTGTTGATAATTATGAGGCTCGCATGGTTGTAAACCAGGTGATTACCTTTTTTGTCGGGTTATCAAACAAACTTTGTATCTTCATAAGTTGCATTCACAGGATCTATCTTACAAGTTTGTTATTGTTCAGGCATGCAATGAGCTGAACCAGACATGGATGGAGTCTGGTACGAAAACCTACCTGTTTTATTTTCTATTCTTAATCAGTTTTACCTCTCTCTTAAAATAATTTAGCAACCTTCTACATTATAAGCATTTGCCTACTAGGTGCAGTCTGGTTGTAGTATGAGATTGCATGTAAACACTGAGCTCAATAATACAGGATGAGATATTTCTTTACACTGTCTTTAAGTTGAAAACAAACTTGTTACGATATTACTGCTCCCAAGAAATGTTGACGTAAAGAGGGTTACTTCTCATTTGATAGAGCAATATCTTCTGACTGACTGATATAATAAATACACTCATTTCCATGTCTTAATCACACTAGTGAGCGAGGCATAGATTTTATTATAATCTTCTGTAAAAACGTTGAAGAACACTATTCAGTGTGTTATTATATTCAATAGAATATCCACTATGTAAACAGTACATTAAGTTGAAAGGAAATTGTTTATCAAAATTTGGGGAAGGTAATTGTATTAAAATTTGTGAGACCGACAAATATTAATTTCTGCTTGTGAAAGGTAGTATAGTGTAGTTATTTTACCCACATGTTTAATCTTCAGAATCACCATTACTTTCATTTCTATGTTGATAGGTTTCTTTAACTGGGATTGTAATTTGTGTTAAGATTCTAGTTTGATGACTTCTTGGAATTCCAATTCGGCCAGTGGTCATCTTAAGTTTATATTTCATCTGATGCATCTTTGTTATGTTTTTATTTTGATTACTTACTTGAGATCTAAGTTGCATGGAAATGGGTACGGGTACCGGTATGAGGCATGGCATATTTGCAAAATATAGGGTATGGGGACACAGCTGTATGTATATATTGAAATTAATAATTTACATGAGATCGTTATTATTTTCAAGTCGTGTATTATTAGAGCTGAAATCCTATCACATTTTAAGGTTTTTTAAGGGAAAAATGCTTTGAGCCCCCAAAATAAAAAAGAAAATGTGTGCCATCCCTAAGACTAAGTCAATGTGCCCTTTTGCCCTTACATTGAGTTTTCAATGCGTTTAACCCCAAAATGTGGTGCCTCCTATCCTAACCAATGGCTCCACTTGCTTTTTTCTCCCCATTATTCCCCTAATTAATGCCACATGTGACTTTCTTTGCCTGGTGTCTCTCTCTCTCTTCCCCCACCACCATCCCGCTTCTCTCTCTCCCCGTTTTCCCCTTTCCCTCTCATTAAACTCAATCCTCAATCGCCACTAACAACAATCTCTCTCTCTCTCTCTCTGGGCGTTGTTGCCATCAACAATGGACCCATCACAACACAATTATCCCCTCCCTTCCCTCTCTTTCTCTCTCCTCAAACTCAACCCCACATGCACGTCACCGCCAGTGTCATAGCTATTGCCGTTGATGACCGACCCACCACAACCATCCACGGGCTTTTCAACACGATCCTAACCAACAAAATCTCCAATCATCAACGATATTTGCACCCCCTCTCATCTCCCAAAAATGTTACCACATTGAGCATTCAACCTGCACCTCCCTCTCCCACTACCTCCTGCTGCCATTTAACTATTAAACTTAGCAACTGACTCTTAAACATAACAACTAATAGTTAAATCTAACACATGACTTATAGGTTTAGCAATCAATCCTTGAATTTAATAACTGACAAACAACATAAATAGCCAATCCTTGAAAATATTTTATGATGTAATTCTACCTCGCTCAACTTCAACAACTAATAAATTTAACAACTAATTCATAAAATTAACAACTAACTCATAATTTTAACAACTAACTTATATGATTAACAACTAACTCAGAAGATCTACAACTAACTCATAATCTCGGGGG